GGAATGCTCTGCAAAAGCTGAAAGATAGAAGGCTGGAGAACAAGAATCGGGCTCGAATAAATACAGTAGATGATGAATCACAGACAGAAGAGGAAATAGCAGTTGATGTTCAAGAAAAGCGAGATGTAGAAGATGTTAATGTGGAACTTGAAAAGGCTCGTAAAAGAATTCAAGATCGAGAGAAAGCAAAGAAAGAAAGCGAAAGAGAAGCTCAAATATCCAGAAAAGATTGGTCTCGAGGGAATCCAGGAACAACAGAAAATGAAAATCAAGTGCTTGGTGGTTGTAGTGACGACGAAATGGATATGCTACGCTATGAGGGTAGTGGCCAACGTGGTTTAGAGTCGAGATCATCTGACCTTTTAGTATCTCCTTTATTCGTCGGTAAGTATCATTAAAATTGGTAATATTTTAAGATATTCTAGTAATACATCACATTATTTGTTTATTATTACAGAAGTACAGGATGAAATTAATAAGACGTCGCGTTCAAGGTTCAATGATTTTTTAATCAGTCCTTCTCGTTCTGCTATAAATCTCTGTCCAGTAGACACCCTTGTTACATCTGCTAATTTTACATCTACCACATCTAGTAATCCAAATTTTGCATCATCTAATTGGTCTGAACTCTCATTTGGTTATAACGAATCATCTTCCTCTCAAACATGCCCTCCTTCAGCGTTGAATGCCGGAAATTGTATTAAAGAAAGATCATTTGGTAAGTGTACTACTTATTTTAAATTGTTTGAGTAAAATATATATTTATGTTTAAGAGAATTATAGTTTACTGGTTGCATAATACATTTTAATTTTTTTAGCATTCTCAACAGCTAGCAGCTCAAATATGGATCAAAATAAAACTTTACCTTCTGCATCAAGTAAGTGTGTATGGAATTATATTTATTTATCCATTTCTCGTAGTACACTAAACTATAATACTTCCGTGTTGCATATTTTTTGAAAGTTATAATTAAGAGCTAAATAATTTTATTGTTAATTTTTTTACTATTTCTATTTCATATTTTAAAATTTTGAAAAGAGTGAATCTTCGATTTTTTGTATATTACAGGTATGTTTCTTGTGCTCAAAACAATCCTCTCCAAACAAGAAGAGCTCTCGCGGAATTTTCAAAATTTTGATCATAAATTGGATTTAATTATGGACTTAATCAGGACTGATGAAAATGTCAAAAAACCAGAGGGATGGCCCACTCTTCCATTACCTGACAAAAACACTTTTTATGAATTCGAATTGTTCCTACAAAAAAGCAACAATTATGATTTCACTGTAAGTACTTTATTATAGCGTACTTTATTATTTATTTATTATAGTGACCTAATTTAACTTATTATCATTTGTTTTTCTGCAGGTATCTCATCTTAGTGTCGTAGCTGGCAAAGGGGCAAACGAGGGAGAAATGGCTACCAGTATATGTAAAAAACTTTTTTCTCCTGAGCTTGCATCTAGTCTGAACTGGATAGGAACGAAATTAAAAAAAGGAATTAAGTCGATGAAGTGTGGCGCATGCATTATTGGTATTAATTTATTTTTTTTAATTAATCACAGCCGATTCGTCCGTTTGTTTTTACTTATGTTATGCACTTAGATCCGCGTCTAATTTTCATGAGTTTTTGGTATTTGGTATTTATCATGTATAACTTTTTTTTTCAGATACATGTGCCAAACAATACAGAGGAAATTTTTTAAGAACATCAGTGACCAGGTCCATTAGTGCATGGCTTCGCAGCCATTCAAAGAAGAGGACTGCAAATGACCATTAAATAAAAATGAGATGCCAGCGATCCGATAAAATATATAATAAAATATGATCTCCCTTAGGGTAATGTTCCTTGGAGCGGTTCGTGCGTAAGCGGATTAGCGGATCGCCAATCACAGAATCGTTCTGTTTGATTTGCTTGCAAAATTTGTAAACAGATCTAACAGAACGATTCTGTGATTGGCGATCCGCTAATCCGCTTACGCACGAACCGCTCCATGGGACATTACCCTTATAGGTAAGAGGGAAAAAGGAGAACTCGGGACGCAGTGAGATGGAAGGGATCGAAGTTATCACCCTCGAATAAAATAAAATATATTCTTTTTCTTTTTTTATATTTTATTATTATTATCATTATTAGCTGTACACATATACACGATTCCTTTATTTCGTATTTTCTTTTATTCAATGTCATAAGAATACTATTTCTTTCTTGTAAATATATTATCATTATTTTGTGCTGTCCTTAATTAGTGCAAATTTTTTTTTCTTCCTTTCTCTCTCTTCTCTTCTCTTTCCTCTTTTTCTCCGCTATGTATCGTGTCGTTGTTACAGACATCTTGCCGAGTGAATCTAAAACCATAGAAGGGGAATACAGATGAGACTATATTTATTAAATTCTAGAGCAGGGTTGCCCAAGTAGTTAGTCCGAAGGGCCAAATTTCAAATTTTGACTGTTTTTACCGCGGACCAGACTATATATCAAGTATATTTTTATATGTTAATATACAGGGAATGGAAAGTTACTTTTTAAAAGTAACTAGTTACAGTTACTCGTTACCGAGTAAAAAATGTAACTAGTTACAGTTACAGTTATCGTTTTTTAAAAGTAACTCGTTACAGTTACCGTTACTTGAAAAATAACTTTTCGTTACTTTTCCGTTACTTTTTTAAAATCAATTTAAAAATGTACTTTTGCATTTTTTTTTTT